AACACTAGGTATACATGTCACCGGAAAATAACAAGACTCGTAAGTTGATCAATTTTCTAGGTACATATCATATAAGAACTTCGTAGTCACATGTATGTAGGATATTATCCTCATAAGTACTAAAGTATACAGTGTCAGGTGTTAAATATAAATCATAATTACTTACTACTTAAAAACATAAAAGATTAAGCTAACCTTCTAGTTTGTCTACTTTTTATATTAATATTCTAAGAATAATTTAACTTAATCGCAATATGCACTAGTCAAATGTACTAATTGCCTATGTTAAAGTACTTAATTCTAGAAGAATATTATTATTGTGACCAACTTTAGTTAACGGTTAAAAACTAATGAAGTTACCATTATTATCACTGTAGAGACAGGGACAGGGCCTCTATTATAACAGAATCAATTTCGTAGTCGCTAACAGCAGATGTACCTACTTACCTACACTTTATTGAATGGAAATGTTACTGTACTAATGATAACAATTAAATGGTTATAGACTATCATTTGAACTCAAATCATTGTACCGAAGTCAATTATTTTGTTTATTTCGTCGGGCGTTTTTATTCACTTCGTTTTTCTCTCCTCAATCAATGTTGTTGTAAGTTGCACAAACATGTTACCGTTATGTAGGTACTAAAGATCTCATACATTACATACGGTGATTAGTTTATTAATTCAATACTTGAAATTATTGGTCTGTCTTAGCGAACTACACTGAAAGTTTAGCAAAATGATATAACTTAACTACCTACTTAGACGTCGTCAAGTCTAGTGATTTGTAATAAGACTGATCTTGAAGACTGTGATAACAGGTTTGAACCTTGTGAATGACAATTTTAGTGGTAATGTGGTAAATAGCGTTTTATAGCTGAGTCACTCTTTGCATTAATGCGTATCGTGGTTATCATTTATTTACTATAATTGTTAATTGAAATAATGCACGATTTCATACATTCTATGACTCTACCTAAATTAGGTTGCTTTTAGTCGATCATTTTACAAGTATTTAGGCGACTTTAGTCTGCTAACACGTAGACTGCTTATTTGCAATAATAATTAACTTAAACTTAATGTTTGCACACTAACCATTGACCTCCTAGATATCATACCATAAGGGCTACCTTTTTCTTTTTTTATTATTTTCTATTGACGTTCATAAGTGCCACTTGTGGTCTAAACTGAATAAATATTTTTGATTTTGATTTTGATTTTGATCAGTAAGTCCATTTTGAACTTAACCAATATAGGCATAAGCATAATATTTCACGAATTATTTGACCGTGAATGTTCACGGTCAAGTGTAGGTATCTATGGGTAAGAATAATGATTAGAAGCTAACCGGTTAATCTCCATTTTATTTCCTGATTGTTTTTTGAGTTATTTTATTTACTAAACAATGTCAAAGTTCCACACCTGTTTTTTAACGTCCTGGTTTAGCGACAAGGAAAAATACTTATGTACGTCTAGTCAAACTGAAGCACGCATGTAGGTACGACGGTAGTATCGACCAATTTGCATAAACGAGTTTCCTTTTGTCCCTATGTCTAGAGTTCTCCACCTGGACATGAGCTCCCCTGGTTTACCTGGAAGTCTTTAAATAGACTTCGGATGCAGTTCGGCCGTAGTAAGGACAATCTGTTCAGATGGGAATTCTTGGATGGCTCAAACATAGAGTGCAAGTGCGGTTTTGTTCCCCAGTCGATGATGCACATGATGTTGTGCCCTGGGTACCCAAACAACAACTGCACGCAGGAAGATTGAATGAATGCTACTGACCACGCCACTCTTGTGGCGGAGTGTTGAGCTGGTACTAGTCACTGTTAGATTTGTTGTCGACACGATTAGAAGAAAAACGAGTTCAAATAAGTAGGACAATCTGAAAATCGTCCTGCTATAAATTGATGATGCCATTTTTTTGTCTTTAATGTAGTTACACCTAGGCTTGACAGATCTACTATTTGTAAGAACTTTGCAATGAATATTAATTTGATAAGACACTTTGATCAATCTAAATTTATGGAATTGATCTACAGTATAGTAGACACAGACATCTTGACTAAATAAGCCAAAAGGCGTATCGTTTTGTACGAGTCGTAGGTGTAACGAATAACAAATTTGACGTAATAATCAAGGTTTTGTCATAAAGCCTTACAATTTCAGATAACAATTAAATCAAGCTAGAGGTCACGATAGTTGATTCCGCTATAGTTTTAAATAGTACTTTTACTAGAAGTTATAGGATAGTTTATTTTATTTCTTTCTTTCTACATGTAGGTGCAACAACCTTAGTTTTTTTTTATGATGCGTGTATAATAGCATGTTGTTTGATTGTCTTAACACTTTGTAATGGCAATTGCGAAGATTTGCAATTTGGAAACGAAAACAAAGTAATTGGCATGTACTATTGGAGTATTGTTAACGAAGATATGTCACAACGTAATACATGTATTTAGAAGTATTTATGTATTAATATAGTAACGAAAGTCCTATGCCGTATTTATGATAACGATAAGTATCGATCGGAAACTTAAAGCTCTTTAAGCTTTAACTTAAATTACCCAAATTACCCATTCAGTCTGAAACTGCAACAAACAATTACCTATTACTTAAGCCCCATAAAATTAGAAAAAAATATTATTCATATAAAAAAACATTGATTATATAAAAAAATAACTAGATACCTAGTAGGTATATTATTTTTCCTACGAAAAAATTTAACTCAACGTTTTTAATTCATGTTGCGTGTCATTACAAAGGTCATTTCTAAACCTGTCTTTTGTTTTATATACGTATTAACAAAATACCTATGGCCTAATTAATCCCAAAAATAATAAATTGATAAGCAATTAGGGTGTAGAGTTGTTTACGGAAACAAAGTTATTGTAGTTAATTGTCTCGATCGTTATAAAACTATTACTTTACTGTATTAAATGCGTCAAAAGCATCCGCGATATTCCAAATCAATGCAATGACTGTATTAATTTCCACATCCTTTACAAATACTAAGATACAGTTAGTAATACCAATAATACCTACTTATAGGACAGCATGACAAACTATAATAATGTGTTGCAATTATTACAGGAACATTTTTTTATCATGTTGTTTATTATAAATATGAGGTAACGGGAAGTCTAATATGGTTAAATTACTATCTCTTTAATACAACATTAGGTGTATCGTGTATCATGTAAATATCTGTTTTTATAATTTCTTTAAATATCCACCACAATTCTATCTGTGGGGACCTATAAGTGGTTATCAAGTGTTATTAACTGTAAAATAATCAATTATGTAAACCCTGCTGGTCTTCCTAATATAAATAAAAAAAAAGAAACATAAGGTTTCACAGAGTTCAGCTTGATATCCCATCTATGGCAAATGTTTTATCTTTATCACTTTAGCTACCGGACGTCTAAGACTGTTGGACAGGTCTCCCAATGATTTCCATTGTTTTTCTTACATGGTAAATAATTAAGTATACTCGTACTCCAGGGTTTGTCGGAGTGGGGTACGTGAACCCTAGGGATTCGCCAATCGACGGCCCCCTGCCGTGCGAAAAAAAAAATATAATGGTGGCTTGAAAATTGACAGGCACGACCCACGTGCGGCATACATGGTGGCCTTTTAAAGGCCTTATTTTCTGCAACAGAACATTTTATTATTTTCTTTAGGGGGGGGGGATTTATTAATTTAGTTATGGGGTTCGCTGTCACCTGAAAACCTGAAACTTTAACAGTCATGGAGCTGATTTTGCGTAACCCTTGTCGTACTCTAATTAATTATACTAAGCCTTGACAGTTGAGTAAGTTTACTAGCCAAGACTGTTTCTTTACATGTTACAAATTATTAGAAATGTAAATATGACCGATGTTTATATGACTTTGCAACTCTTTGAATATAATCGTAATTATTTATTACTTGCCGACTCATTATTATAGAAGCCAAAGAATAGGTACATTTGTTTTTGTGATTTAATAAATTGCGTATTAACTCGAATCAAAGAGTTTATAATTTATTTTTTTTTGCTGGTGTCCGTTTTTGTTGCAGATTCTTTACTTTTAGAGTAGAGAGTGATAGTAGTAAAGGATCATTCCTGAAAAACGTTATTTAAAAGGATCGTCTCACTTTCACACCTACTTTCAAGAAACAACAGGACTAAACATATTCAAATTTTTATAACTCCCTACGCAGTCCTATGCATATTGTAGTTACTCTTTAAGAAAACGATTTTGATTAATCAGTGACGTAAGAGACTAATCTCCGAAGTAATTAACGCATTGTATCGAAAGACCAGTGTACCAAGAGATTCCTTGATTAAAGCACGCTATAAGGTGCCCTTAATTGGTTCCAGCTTTTTCTATAATTAGAATGAGATAACAAGAAAAAATAAATAAACCGGACACCAATGCACCGTTCAAGAGCTGCAATGACGTCAAATGAAAACCAGGTTTGCCGGGTCGTCACTCGTCCTTCTCGCATATTGTAGCATCGCAAAATTGTTGCTAAATTATATTTGTATCAATTTATTTTTATACCAACAAGAGACAAATCAAAAAAGCTATAGGGCATTATTAAATCCCAATGCAATTATACCTACTCTAGTGCAAATTAATAGGAAAACATTAGTAATTTGTCTTTTTTTTTTATTAAAAAATTAAATTTACACATTTAATTTTCCATCGGATCGGCCATGACGATGTAGTTATTAAACTACATCGTCATGGCCGATCCAGGTTTTGTTCATTCATATTAACCTACATTTGACACCAAGTAAAACATGAAAATGATAATTATCCTGTAACTTATTTTAGAACATAAACAAGCTCTACACAAAGACTACAAAAAATGCAAGGACAGAGGTGCGGGTTTAAAAACCTGAAAACTTATTTTCAGATTTAAGGCACAGGGTCCTGTCCAAGTATACTTAGTGACGCATGAAGTCAAGTTGAAGGCGCTTGAAGAGCGATGTGATAAAAGGGTAGTGTGAGCGCGCGCGCCGCCAGTACTCAGCCCGCAGGCCGCACGAACGCAGTGGCGCCCGCGCACCGCGACTCACACGCCCGCTACCCTAGCGCCCCCACCTCGAAACTTTGCTTTAACCCGTTTACCCTCGGTAGTGCTTGTGCTCTTGGACTGCAGAACATAAATCCTGGACGGAACATTGACAGCCACAACCAGAACTTCCCATTCAGGTGAGTCTACGAGAAAAACGTGCGTGAAATTCACCTCGACTAAGTCATGTGATGATGCGGACTCGTAAAGCAAGGCAGTTTGAGTTACTTTGAAAATTTTACAATCAGTTGTTCATAACCAATTGTTTTAATAAGGAAAATCTATTGAAAAATTTAAGATATCTCAACTTTAATTTATACGGTTGACCTTTTGAACAAAATAAGGCTTTATAGTGTGATCAACGTGTATCTAGTAATTACCTAAATGGTAAATTAAATTATGTGCATTAAACCTATAAATGTCTGTGAAATTCAGTATTACTTATAATTTGTTCGGAGTCCAAAGAACATTTTGTACGTAGGTACCTATCTTATTGCAAATCGCTTACACAAATAATGGAGATATAGATTTCCATTAGAGCGACTACGTAACGCTAAGATAATATGCGGTAGCGACACACAGCGCACAGGTACAAAATCTCCGGCCTCGCTCCAAATTGTCTAATTTTTACAAGAGATGCTAATGAATGACAATTCATTTGATAACTTGCTAGATGAGACTCGCTCGCAATCAAAGGTCACGTGCGAGATGAAACGGACTCCGCATGAGAGGCCATTGTTTGCGATTATCCTTGAAACGCGAAAAATTCTTGAACATTAATGCTAACCACATTCCACTCCTCTAATACAGTTCATACAAACGTAAGACATCAACGAAAGTTTGTCAACATTCTGCTGTGACAACATCCGACGCGACCGCCGCTCTGCACATTGTCTACGTACGCAACAGCGGTGGTAACTGTTAATATTAGTAGATAACATGCAGTGAACGCAACAGTATACTAAGAAAGGAGCTCGGTTTTGAAGCCAAGGATCCACCAAGGCGTTCCACAGGCGTTAGTATTCCCAACGCGTGTGGCAGCGAGGCGGTGGGCGCGTGACGTAAGGTCACCTCGCCTGGCCACTGACATGACACGAGATTAACATGACTCCTGCCCGCGCCTAGTGCTATATGGAACGTATTAATGGCCTCATCTCTAATAACTCGGCGAGTAAACTCGGGAAACTAGGAAACGCTCCTCATGGCTTCCCGTCAGGGCAATTTTACCTAACGACCGCGGTAAAGTATCCACAAGTTGTAACACAAAGAAACCCTTTTAATTTGAAGTGTTATAAATTTTGAGACTTTAGACAAGAGGTAATTCGCTTTTAAAATATAATACAATCCCAGATAAAAAAAAACATTCGTGACGGTTTTAAATCACGATAAATACAATAACTTAATAGCCGTAACGTTAATAATAGGATATTTGCCGATTATTAGATTGGCATAATGTTACAATAACATAAAAATAACTTAAATCACATTATTGTGACTTGTATAAGTTGTAAGTAATGATAGATAATTCATTCAAAATTATATAGGTACTTTTAAGAAACTCTACATGGCCCGAAATATGGTTAACCTATCTCTAACACATGACACAACATAGAGTCGATTCGTAGTTTAGTGTCGCAAATAAAATATACATACAACGTGCTCTTTTTCATTTCCTGGAACTCTAGGGTATTAATAAGACCACTTCAAAGAATGGAATGGCATTACATTTTTTGTTAAATTCAACAATTTTTTTCGACTTATTTTTTCATACGAAATTATTTAAAAACTTAATTTTTCACTGAAATAATTCATAATTTACATACACTTATCAATAAAAACTCTGCACAAAAAGACTAGGTGACAATTTTGAAAAAAAAAACTAGATTGATGATACTATAATCTAAATCAACTAGGCATCTTCTAAATCTAGAATCCACAATATCTTCAAAAATATGCTTTTAAAAACACATATTCCTAAGACTCTTTAACTAGTTTTTATTTATAGAATATACCCCTAAAATTTCCGGAAAACAAAAGGAGCACGTTGTATATTAACTCAAAGTATTTCATGCATGCAAAATAAAATATTTTATTTAACAAATGCTACATTTGAAAATGAAATTTACAGGGCTTAATTTATAAAGTTTTATGTATTCAATAAAAATAAAAGGTGTATAATTAACATTGTATATTGTTAAACACCACTTGGAAATAGCGTTCAGTCCGGTACATCTGGGATTCACCTTTAATAACAAACAGTTTTTTTACTTCTTATAATATTTAAGAATCCATTTATGCTTTCAATGGTTGCTTGCTTTTGCAATAATTGTGTTTTTTCTTCCTATTGCGTTCTCTCATAGTACCTAATTGACGGAAAATATTATGCTAGCAAATATTTTGTTGCTGAATAGATCCACAAAAAAAATGGTTTGAAAATGGTTAAACTGACGCGAAGTTCAAGAAAAAATATTGTAGGTAGTATGATAAATTAGTAGGTACTTTAATAAATTATTAAGTATCCATATATTAAGCATCTAGGAAGTCATTTGGCTCTACCACGAAAACTATTGACAACCAATAGGAATAATGTAAGGTAATCAATGAAGGCTGATTATCTAAACAAGGAAAGCTAACATCGGAAATCTTGAAGGTCTGCGAGCTAGTAAATAAAGAACCCAAGTCGAAACTTGATTAATTTAAATTTAATAAAGTTTGTAATGACCACTAACTACACGAACTCCTGGTTGACAAAAATATTTGCATAAATTAAATCGCGCCGGTTTGATGTTGCGAACAAACAGATTGAATTATTTTTTCCCACGTTACTATTACATACAATAAAGAAAAGAAGTGTGCATACTTCTAAAGATAGACTTTTTAGCTGACTCTAGACTACAGCTACAAGTCAAGTTTCATTGAACCTTATTCGAACTTTATGTACGAAAATAACCTCACAACCGGCTTTTGCGACAGCCTCTGAAGACGACATTGAGTTCCTATAAGAAGATAATTATTTTGGATCCGCTATTTGTGAAACAATAGATGAATAAGCACACCGTAGGTTGTACATCTTTATAATTCTAGAGGTTAAATCCTTGAAACATCTTTCTAAACCTTCTGTGTAATACTTTATGTATTTTTTTTTAATTCAGAAAGAAAAAATACATAGATTTCCTGAAGAAAATGAAAATAAAATACGTTTATTTCGAACTAGGGTCCATATAAAAAGTTTATAAAAATTGATTAAGGTTAACAGATGGGATGGTCTCATTGGCGTTAATATTTTCAAGGGGCCAGACCTTTCTGGTGTGTGGGCCCGGCCGAACTACGAACGACTAACCTGCCAATCTCCAGCAAATTACCTTTTTCATGTTTTTCAGGATGCAACACAAATCCATACACAGATATGAAACGTCGTTTAAGAAAGTTTGAATGACTCTGTGCTTAATAATAATTATATTAGCACGTACACTCGGAGTCATTTCTCGAACAAATTAACAACGTTACTCTAAAATGTACAATAACGTGTTTTTCCATTGTCATTAAATATTTAAAAATATAATAATCAGAATCATCATAATCTGATACCGTTACTTATTAACCTTATTTATGTATCTATGCCAAATAGAAAGATATTTACGGAAAGGCTACCCACCCATCCGGACAAAAACGATGAAGCTAAGTATGTGTTACGATGAGAACAACTTTCTCCATCGAAAAATATCTGTAAATTTTCAAAATAGTTAAAAATTAAAAAAAAAACAGTAGGTTTTGTCGGTCCCATAAAGAAATCGGTCCTAATACAAGATAAACTGAACCCCTTGCTTTTCCCATTATCATACGACTTACTTACCTATATAAATGATAATGAATCCCATATTATAAGGACAGTAAAATTATCGTACTTATTGCATTTTCTGTCTCAATTTTCATTTCAAAAGGAAATTATCATACATTTTAATTACCTAAAAGTGTCACGTTTTAGCAACGGAAACGAAAAAGTTCATTGACCAATTGAGCATCAAGTCCTTGACTGGCTACAGTTTAATATATTGGCCTCTTAGAATGTATAAAACCTGATTTATTAATTATCACCATTTTATATGCAATATTCATAAAGTTAACCAGATTCTATGATTCTTGTTTCTAAATCTTTTCGCATCGCATTTTTATTGCAATACAGAGATGAATGATTATAGCGCTGTACTTTCATTAGCCGAAAAATATGCTGACCTTACTCTTTACATGCTTAAGGCACTGTTCCTGGTTTAACATATACGTAAAGTGGACATATTAATTATACTTGAACCGCGTCTCGATCATGAACATCGGTTGATACCTTGTTCTCCAGTCAAAACAAACAAATTGTATGCATATTTTATAAACGACATTTTTTTTGTTCACCTATCACGGTGGCAGACGACATGTCCAAATTTTTATGAATTATAGCAAAAAACTAGACAAATACTTACTTGCTCTCAAGTCAGTAAATTCTAGAATCTATTTATATTTTATGTTCGCCAAGCAAACAATCTATGTTCTGTGCAAATGATCATTTATGTGGCACTTGAACGATTGACGCCAATAACTTTTTTGCAGACTGTGGCGTGTATTCAACAAAATAATATCTACGTTACCTTGGTTTTATATTTTTCACAATGTTCGCTATATGGCTGCAAACAACATACGAATGTGAAAATTACAAACGCAAACTACTGAGAGACATCATTGGAAACCAATGGGAAGTAATATGAAAATAAATGGTTAATTAAGCTTTTTCCAAGGTTACAGGAAAATCATTACATCTCCCTTCAAAAATTAATTGTAGTTACATATTTCGTGACATCTTTACCATGCGGATTCTATAAGCTAATATTGTGTGTGTACCTTCATATAAGTATAAAATTTAAATAAGCATTACCTATGCGTGCGTATTGTGTTCGAAGTTTGAACAAGAGGTAATGCTAGCAACCTCTAAATCGACTTGGGTGACCTCTCGATCATAAATTGGGCATTAGCAAGGAGCCAAGGATAGTCATTAGACGGTGTCGTGTCGCCGCGTGCACGTCCGAGGCGGCCTCGCGCGCTCGGGCTGCGCCTGCAAATGTTTACATTTGCGCCGGCGACGCCGTCCGCGGCG